TCTCGGAAGCAAAATGAGCAAGAACGCTCGTTTTTACATCATTCCAGAGATAACTAAATGGCCTTTATTCGAAGTTTCTCAAGAACCATTCGAGCTAGAAAATTCGTTTTGACACCGTTGGATAGAAAATTGAATGGGGGGTCCTGACCCCCATGACCCCCCCTGGATCCGCCCTTGTTCCCTTACCAGACGCTTACCGGTAAGCTGCCCAAGCGATCTTCCGGTGCCAGCAGGGGCGGCTTGCGCTTGCCTCACCGCTCGTTGGGACTTATGCAATTGCTCCACGTTGTTCACTTTAAGGGCCAAATTTTGCAACTCTTTGGAGATTGAGCGAATCTCGTTTGTTAGGAACGGCCAGCAGTTGAGCAAATGTATCTACATTGAGTATTTGAGGATCGGGTTTATCGTTAGTAATCGGACTGCTAAAGAATGCACAGCTTCGCACCTTATCCTTCGTAAGAATCAGGATGCAATATTTCCTTTGAAAGCCTCTAGCCAAAGAGTCTTGCACTGTAAACATGTGGCTAATGATGTGGCCCCGTTTATTGTCTCCAAAATACAGACTGTCATCCTGTTTGCTAGTTTCCTGAAAGTTAGCCACTTACTTTCCGGCAAAAGCAGGTAAGCAGGTAAGTTTACCTCGCAGCTCAAGCTTCGCACTACGGCCTGCCGCAGTAGAAAAGCCAGATGCTGTTGAAGGGGCGTTCTAGTAGTCACATAGCAAGTCCCATTGTTTTTGCACACCATCGCTTGCCTCAGATCAATCGACTGGCAGGCCTCGCAAACTGGCACTTTGAGACTATGGGGAAACTGTTGGGGCTCCTGTTCGCATCGCTGTGTGCTTAAAATCACACAGGGCCCATGGGTCTCGCAAAAGTGCCCCAAACCTACAATCCCATCCATGGCAGGCGCTAATTTGGGGCTGTGCCCCCTTAATGGGGCGCTGGTGTGCTTTTAAAAGGGCTCCGCCCCTGGAATGGGGAGTTTTGCCTATGAAAATGTTGCAAAATCTTGTTTGAGGTTAGTGCTGGTGAAACTGACCTCTGAATGGAAAACAAGAAATCTACTCCACAGATTACAGAGTAACCTCTGTGATCTACTCTTGCTCCGTTAGTTCAGTAAAAACCTATTTGAATATTAAAGTAACTAATATTCAAAGAAAAACATAAACACGGTTTGTTCCAATGAAAATTTTGCAGCAAAAGTCCTGAGAGAGTTTCAATAAATTTAAATTTTAAATTAAATAAAAATAAGTTTAAATAATCTTCGTTTGCATAATTTAAGCGTCCGAGCATAATTATTAATTATTTTCAAAAGATAACTGACAGCTGTCAGCATTCCTTTGCCATTTGATTGTTTTAAAAATGGCCACTTTTGTCATGGGAACTAAACTCATTTTGGGCGGTTTTCTCAACGTCAATTTGAAACTATTTTTTTAACGCCTTGTATTAATAGTTATAAAAATTTATAAATACAAAATAAGTAAATTTTTGTTACTTTTCATTTTCAAGTTTGAAACCTGCTGCAGAGCATTTTGTAATTATAATAAAGATTTGTAAAAAAATAATTAAATGTGACAACGATAAGCTATATTTAATCACATTTAGCAGACAGGAAAAAATCACGACGCGCAGTGACTTCCACTGACAAAAGATGACGGCAAAGGATCAGGCGCAATGATGAGATTATCGTCATACCTTGTATTGTGGTATGCTTTCCACGGCACCATTAGATGGCGGCACAGCCTAATACATTCTCGCGAGTATTTACCATCTAGCTATAATTTCCGCATTTTGGAAGTTCAAAATTAAGATCATACTTCACAGGATCATTTCTGTAGTATATCTTCACATACTCTCTTCTCACAAGATGAGTTTTCGCAACCATGAGGATGAGACACAGTCTCGTTCCCTGAGCGTGAGAAATGGCTCAGATTCATCTTATGGGATGAGTCTGTGGCCTTCGATGATCGTTCGACCTGTCTTGGACGGGGTGTGGGAATGAGTCAGTCTGAGTGGTTGCTTTTTAAAGAAATTAAATTAATCTCAGGTTTAAACGCAGTCTATTTCTGAGGACATCGCGTCTGACGGTCGAACGAGTGTTCGGCGTATTTTGTCGAATTTCCATTGCTTTTCGTGGCCCCTATGAACCCTAATTTGACAGTCTAGAACGGTTCTTAAGATCAAGATACTAAGAATATCTCAAGTTTACATTCTGGCGTTCGAATTGATTCTTGAAAAACGAGTTTCATAAGAAAATGCACGAACTAGAGCGCTATTTTCAGTAATTTTGCAAGAGTTTTTGGGGGATTTCGAATGTTTCGTGCCTTGAGTTTGCTGAATTACTCGTTTCCTTGAAATGCCGTCGGATTCGTGAGCATTTTACTCGACTTGGATTTTGCAACTCAAAGAAAACCGTAGAATAAGTAGCAGTAAGAAGTATTGTAAAACTTGTCTGAAATAAATATGTTCTAAAGCAAATTTAAAACTTCTTGAATTCAAGCATATTTTGAGAAAACTGCCAACATTTGCTTATCGATGTTCACTTTCTAAAAAGGCCATTCATTTCTCTCTAGAATGATGTACAAATGAGCGTTATTGCTCATTTTGCCTCCGAGAAATGAGCAAAAACGGGTCGAAAAACATCAAATTTTGGCATAATCTTGCACCTAAATGTCTGATATTCAAATTTCGCTTTCTGGCTCAAAACTACTCGAATTTCCTCACTCACGTTGTTGCGACTGAATCGACTTCAATTCTCTATCCAACGATGCCAAAACGAATTCTGTGGCTCGAATGGTTATTGAGAAACTTCGAAAAAAGCACCGTCATGTTCAAGTGGATTTTGCAACTCAAAGAAAACCACGCAAATCTAAAACTTCTTGACTTCAAGCATTTTTTGAGAAAACTGCCAACGTTTCCCCATCCTTGGTTCACTTTTTAAAAAGGCCATTTATTTATCTCTAGAATGATGTATAAATGAGCGTTCTTGATCATTTTGCCTCCGAGAAATGAGCAAAAACGGGACGAAAAACATGGAATTTTGGCATAATCTTGCACCTAACTGTCTGATATTCAAATTTCGCTTTCTGGCTCAAAACTACCCGAATATCCTCACTAACGTTGCTACGACTGAATGGACTTTTCAATTCTCTATCCAACGATGCCCGAATTCTGTGGCTCGAATTGTTCTTCAGAAACTTCGAATAAAGGCCATTTAATTATATCTGGAATGTAAAAACGAGTTTTCTTGCTCATTTTGCTTCCGAGAAACATGCAAAACGGGACGAAAAACATGAAATTTTGCAATAATCTTGCGCCACCCTTGCATAAAACGACGATCATTTTTCTAAGTTCATAAACAACAGAAGACTGTATTTTTTCTACATAACCCCCCCCCCCACACTTGGGACATAAAAAAAACAGATGCGCATTTAATATTCAGACTTCAAGTGTATATGAAGCAATATATGTTAACAAAAATGTAACATTTTAAACTAAAAACTAATTTTTAACATGACAATTTACAAAACAATGTAGCAGGCTAAACCGGGGAACTATAAAATACAGTCATCCTCACCAATATTGTCCATTTCCACCCGCATTTTTTTCGCGGCCGCATTGTACTTTTCGATGTCTTGCAGGAAAAACAAAAGTTCCTTAATTTTGCTTTTGAATCTATCAAATTCCGAGGAGTTCGAATCGGCAACGTCCCCTAAAAAACCTCGCCATATTCCAAGCCCCTAACATCAACCAAATAAGCCACCAACCTCGATCAGTGATTCGAATTAGTTCCTCTACAGTTTTCAAGCAGTGTTTCAACAGCAACTCTTTGAACACCGAGTCCCAATATCGTCGAAATCTGGAAAAACGCGAAATAACAATGGAGTTAAGGGGGACTTTTCGCACAATGAACCTTCTAAGGCATCCTTCGAAGGACCAGGGGCAATTTGCCAGCATTTCCATCTTGCTGCACGCATCGCCGTAAACTTCCTTGCAACATTGGAACACGATTTGAGAGAGCAGCCCTTGCAATTTTACCTTAATTTTCACGAACTTGTTGCATTTCAATTTCGCTACCAGTTCCCGAGGCGAGTACGTTTTCAGATCGTTAGTTAGGGCCTTGTTGCGTAAGTTGATGTCGTTGCTCAGAAGAACCTGGATGGTTTTATCGTGGCACTTTCAATGAGTGGAAACAGTTTTAAGTCAAATTTACCACTGTGGTGTATTTCGTCTTCGCTTGCAGGCAGCAGGCCAGAATTTTGTCGTCTGGGTCTTTTCCGAGATCCATTTGCTGGCAAACATCATTCACCGATTGTCCTGTTTAGAATACACTGATTACTGAGTTACTGTCGTTTCCAGAGCGGAAATTGCACTTTTTTTAAACAAACGTGTAAGTTTGGCTTGAAAAAAACAAATCTTCCTGAGTTAATGCCAACCGTGCGTATTATTTACCGACTACTTTAGAGTTGGGTTCAAGCAAGGCTGAATTAATGAGCTTCTGGGCGGTTAAAGCTTGCGACTTCATAGACGAATTTCGACTGGAATTGTCTTTGAAATGATCCAGCTCTTTTAGCACCATCCAAGGAATGTAGATGATGAGCTTCTGGCTCCCTACAAGAAACGGAGGACTTCGATCAACTTTACATCAATCCGGTGGCGTCGAGCCATACCGACAATCTTGAAATTTAGAAGTTCTTGCACTTTTGGTAGGTCGTGCATAAAAACATTCGTGTCAGTGACCAGGCAAATAATATTCCGCTTTGCTTCATCGGGAAGCGCCTTCGGCGCCATCGGAGTGTTCGATGGTTCAGGAATCTCCTGAAAAATTAGATTTTATTGCAAACTCCAGTCTTCCAAGTTCAATTTGCCAGTTTACATCCCAGTCCATCGACTCATCTGCCCGCGATTCGCTCAACAATTCGCTTCTGCCGAGAATTGTATCATTCAAATGGACCTCGAGCGAATCGCTCATGAACTCGTTACAACAAGCCGTAGGAGGGGCACTATCCATCCATTCCTCCACTAGAGCAGCCCTAGAAATGCTTGTACATTTAAGAACGTCTTTCGAAGTGTCTTCATTCACTGTGGCACTGGCCCGTTCAATTGGTGCCTTAGAGTCCCTGATTTTTGCCAATCTGGAATATTAAGCAAAGTGAGTGTTCAAAAGGTTTTGATGCAGCGTGAACCTACCGGTCTGCTAGAGAGCTTTTCACAGTTTTTCCAGTAGATGAACCGGCACCGATTTCATTTTTTATCGCTGCTCGTCTGGGGAAAAAGACACATTTGACTAGGAGAGTGTTAACTGGAAACCGCACTCACCTATTGCCCATTGGACTGCTTCCCATCTCAGTAATAGGGGACTTTTTTGGAATCAAATTTGCCATCCCTGGGCATTCATTTTCAGCAATTCTGGGCACATTAGCAAGCGACTTGGCCGGTGTCTTTTGCAATCGCTGCAAACAAGTACAAGAAGGCACTAATTATTAAATAAAATAAGAGTAGCAACTGAAGAGTACAAAATTGGGGTCACTCCTCTGGAGGTGTTTTAGGAGTACAGAAAAAATTGTAGAAAAATTTAATCATTACAAACGGAGAAATTTGCAAAAAATATATCAGAAGAATATCGATGCAAGTCTTACGTTGAGAAATTCTCAAAATTCATCCCAAACATACAAAAAATTAAAATTTTAAGGAACCCGACAGTCCAGTTTCCTCTATTCAGTGTTATAACACGCTCTCCAATCTCCACTGATTTGACCATAAAGTCCAAGTCTCACTTGGAGAAACTCTCAAATTTCATCGAACAAACCCAACGAAACCAAACTTTGCGAAAGTAGGGAGC